GGACGACTGGGAGAGTCAGAGGCAGTATCAGCAGACTTAAGAGAGATTAGGACCCTCCTGGTTGTGTGGAAAGGAATAGAAGAAAAGGGCACTCCTGTCCCCTAGGTGGTCATTATTATTGTATCGCAGTAACATCTAGAAGGCTCAATCAAGGGCCCCATTGAACTAGATGCTGTACACAGAACAAGAAGATGAACCTTAGCCCCAAAGAGCTTACCATCAAGTAACTCAATCTAAATGATTCTTATGCGTCTCCTAAAAATATGTAAGACCAGCACTGAAGGAGGGAGATTTACAAACAAAACCAAAACAAACTATCTCACCAAAGCAGCTAAATTCCCATCCCTATCTGGAGAGACTCACAACAGCCTTAAAATGACCCCAAATCAAGGAGAACCCCCAAACACGGGGGACTTTCAATTTCAGGGCCTGAAAGGGGGGAATGGAACTGGGACATGAGCCGCTTGGGGCGGGGGAGGGTGGCAGCTTTAGCAACCGAGGGGGAATCTTGACACAGTTGTAGAGGCTATGTCGGAAGAGCTAGCACAAAAGCAAAGGTCTTCCAGCAGCAGCTTGTGGTTAAGGTTTTTTGGGGTGTGTGTGAAGTGTCTCCCTCTCTATGGATAAGCTTTGGGGCAGCAGGTCCGTTCCCCCTGCCTTCACCTTAAACACAGACTGCAGGGATCTGATAACCATCCTTCTCCTTGCAGCCAGGTGCCTATACCCCACGCAGGCCTCTCCTTTGCTGCACTGAATAGCCAGAGGAGCTCACAATGCGCCCAGAACAGACTCTTTCTTCATCCTCCCCAGCGAAGAGACCGCAATCCCCAGCATGCACTGCTCGCCGTCTCACACCAGGGGCTACGAGAATGGCAGCGCATAGCATGCTGGGAATTGTAGTCTTTTCGGTATCGCTTTTAGAACAGAACTCGTCTGTCTCAGCCAATCGGGGCTCCCCTCGCAGGGGGCGGGTTGAACTCGAAGGCGCGTATTGCCTGATAGTATTGTCAGTCCCGCTTCTCTCGGCCCTAGCAACTGAAGCATCCTAACGACGCCTGCAGCGTGGCCTGAGGCCCTCTTAGCACAGACCCCAGAGCGGACCCCTGAGCCTGCAGGCAGGTAACGGGGGCCGGGGGCAGACGGGGGTTCTGGGCGTGGCGGTAGCAGCCGAGCTCAGGGTGACCATCTGGGAGCACAGAGGGGTAATCACAGGGGCAGGGTGACCCCCATCCCGACTCAGTGAGAGACACCCCACTCTCAGCCGCTCGCCCACCAAAACACTCACCACCCCGGTATGCAGCACACAGCCCCAGCAGGGCGTGGGAGAAAGGGGAGGGGTAGGGAAGCAAGGGGCTTAGAAATGGTGAGGAGTGATTGGGATGGCAAGAGAAAGCTGGGAAGCCAAAAAGGAGACAGAGGAAGAAAGGCCAAATCAGCAAAGAAAACATCTTTGAGAGAGATGGGGAGGGGGAGATTTTGATTAGCATCTAAAATGAGTGACAAAGTATGGCCTAAGGAAAAACATAAACACTGTTAAAAGGGGGTGTAAAAGAAACATCAGGATAAAGAGGAGAAAGGAAAAGGTGGTACCAGGAAGCTTGCTTTGGGCGATATTTTGAACCTGTGATTTAATCTCATTTTGGTGGTTTCTAGCAACAACCACCACAATGTGAAAATGGTCCTGACCCTGGGACCCAGACCTAGCCTCCACTGGGACACTATAGAATTTATAACATAGCCTGTTGTACAGATCACCCTCATTTTCTTTTTGAAAAATTGCAGTGTATGCAGGGAGATGCCCTGTGTGCATTGCAGACTCCACTTAGGGCAAAAATGCACTGTCCACACTTCTCAAGATGAACATGCTGGGACCTGTAGATTTCCATCAGCATCTGTGCTCAGAATAAAATGGAGTATTGCATGCCATGGTCTGTAGCCTTAGCAAAGACAGTACCTACAAGGTGGCTGAAATCTGATCAAAACGGAGCATGGCATGCTGAAACCTGTAGTCAGGATTCCTTGTATTCTCTGGAATTTACCTTGGAATCCACACTGTGCTGCAGGATTGTGCTCTAGAATCTAAGATTTTATTTTAAAAATATTATGTTTCTAGTCTCGGCGGTTGCAAAGAAAAGCTTGAAAATGTTAATCAGATGTAAGCTGATGCATTGCAGTCTTCCTGAGACTATAGACACCCAGAAACCATATCTCAGAGATGTGTACACTGATCCCGCTTCCCAATGAGATGATTGAGACCTAAATATGACATTTTAAATGTCAACATTTTTACATTGCTGATAATTTTAGCAGAAACATCTAACTCATGTTCCTCAGTCTCTAACTACCTCCCTATGTCCTCTCAGGTGGCAAAGCCCATCGAGCACCTAGTGAGGCCCTGATTCAGGAAAGCATTTAAGCATATGTTTGACTGCTGTGGAACTACTCACATGCTCAGATGCTTGCTTGGATCAGGGCCTCAATTGCCAAAAATTTTAGTTTCATTCCAAACAACTTCTGTAATGCAGTTATACATTGTCAGTTCATATATTTGCAGGCATATCAAAAACTGTGTAAGGCAGGTTACATCAAGTTAATCAAAATAAACAACACAAGGGCTTCTGTACAGATTTGATCATTCTTAGCTGTTACTGTTAACAATTGTAGCTTTCTCTCCCCCCCAGACAGAAGTGTGCTTTTTAAGTTGCCAGTGTTCCTTTAATTTAGAACTGGTGACACAGACAACAAAATAACAAAGTATGTTTTTGATACTTTGCTGGTACTGTTTTGTTCTGTAGAAGTATATTTGATGATTCTGTTTTTTTAAATTGTAATAAATCAGTTTTAAATTAGTAATATACACAAACATGACCTTAAGTGGTTCAATTAGGCCACTAATTAATCATTCTTCCTTCTCAGTTTAGACAGGATCCCTTGCATTGCTCATAACTAATCACCTTTCTCTTTCTGTGGCACCCAGCAACTTTGTGGATTTGTTTCATAACTCTAATTTTTTTGGTCCATTAAACAATTCGGAGAACATTCTCATCTTCATTTTTCTTCTGAGAGTCTAAGGTTCAGGACTGCACATCGGTTCCATGATGCCAATTAATCTGTAAAATATCAAACACAAAGTTGTCAGACGATGTCTGCTTGGACATTACCAGTTAATATATGATCTTGTTCTGACAATTTGTGCTGAAAATGGACTCCTCATAGTTTCTGAAAGATTTTAGATAGTAAATTACATGTATCTGTGGACATAAACAGCCCACAGATAAAATATCTGGTTTATTTAATACTGGGGTTTGTATATTATATTATGTTTTCAATAACTATTCTTTGTATAGATGTTTTGTACACTCTGCTGTTATTTTTCAAGTTTAGTGTTCAGGTATTTAGTTAATGAACATGACTATGAAAATATTGCATTTGGGTATTTATAGAGAAATACATGTAATGCAGTCCTACTCTTATGCAGTATAAGAACTCAGAGAGAGCTCTCTGTGAGGATAGGAACCGAACATGGACAAAACATTTCTGCTTGACATTAAAAATTAAACTCTTGGCCTCTTCTGAAAAATTCACAGAGCAAGATTCTTATTTGGATTGTAAGCTCCCCTGGGCAGGAGACATTCCTTTTTCTATGTTTTGTACATTGTTGACCATACTGTCAGTGCTTAACAAAAAGTGACTAAAAAAATGTTATTCAAGTAATAGTGGAAGTTGTACTTAACTTGGCAGAATAGATACTTGGCAAGGTTGATAGTACCTATTATGGTTCGTGCTACATTTTTCTAAGACAGCATAGTCTAGTGGCTACTGTTCAGGAATGAGAATCAAGAGATCTCATTCTTGGGCCTGGTCCACACTACCCCCCCACTTCGGACTAAGGTACGCAAATTCAGCTACGTTAATAACGTAGCTGAATTCGAAGTACCTTAGTCCGAACTTACCGCGGGTCCAGACGCGGCAGGAAGGCTCCCCCGTCGATGTCGCGTACGCCTCTCGCCGAGCTGGAGTACCGGCGTCGACGGCGAGCACTTCCGGGATCGATCCCAGAACATCGATTGCCTGCCGTCGGACCCTCCGGTAAGTGTAGACGTACCCTTAGTTTTTAGTCTGTCTCTGGCTCAACTTTGTGAGCTGAGGCAAGTCACTGAGGGCCAGATTTTCAAAAGTGTCCTCTAAGTTTGGGTGCCTTGCTTTTTTAGTTTTTTATCTAAGACACTACTGTATCTAAATTTAGGAAACCAAATATGGAGATGTCCAAAGTAGAGGCAAGTCCTGAAAATGTTTGCTTTAGCTTATACGCTAAGGACCAACAGGAGACCCTAGCATAATACCAAAGTGAATGTTATAATATTTTAGAGACTTTGATTCATGTCAGCTACCCACAGGGGCTCATAAAGGTTAAGGCCTTGATTCTCCACTGCATTGCACTTTGTACAGTCACATACCTCTGAGTAATATATTGCCAAATCAAAATGGTAGCATTTTACATCCATTTTGCACAGATGTAAATGGTAGGGGCCTGGTTCTGTTTCCAGTGAAATCTATAGAAGTTTTGCTGTTGAGTTCAGTAGGAATAGGATCAGGCCCTAAGAGTGTCCTAACTACAGAGAAATGTGTGCCTAGAGAATGACAAATATTGAGTCAGAACGGATGTATTGTTTTTGAGATTATAAAGGAAGGCTAATTCGATTTTTTTTCTAACTATATTGTAATAAATGTATGTCCATCTGTCTCCCAGCTGGTACCTAAGCGGCCTCTGTGGGTTCCAGATTTGATCCCCATCACTCAACTCCGTTACATTTCACATTCCCACCCACCCCCACAATCTTCCTGCCAACCCCTCCCTTGTCTGTATGACCTCTCAGTTGTACAGAGGATAAAGGGGGAAGAATTAAGTAAACTGGAGAGATTTTTTTAAAATTTATTTTAAAGAGATTTGTTTGTGAACTCTTGTTCTCAGCACAGTAGCTTTAAAGTCAAGCAAAAGAATGGAACATAGGGATGTCTTATACATTATTATGCTTTGTAAGTTGCTTTCTTAAAATAAGTCGTGATTAATCTCAGATATTTATTTCAGTGTTTCCTCTATTCATGTGACTTATGGTTTTGATTACTCACTAGAAACAAATCAAAATTTCCAATCTGGATTTATTTCAATACTGAATAAGGAAGTGGTGAGGTAAGGGAATGTGACTGTACTAAATATTCAATGGTTCATCTTGCCCTCCAATTAATTTTCAGAATTACTGTCTGCTTTGTTTGTGTTGGAAAACATTCTCTCTTTCATCCAGGGGCTTCAAGCTTCTGGCTCAAGTTAGAGCAGCGACAGGATCCCTTTATGGGATCAGGACCACAGACAGTGCCAGTGGGCAACAGTTGTTTGAAATTTACAATGGTATGGATCAGTAGTGACTTTCTGTGTGTAAGAAAATTGATCTGTATACTTGCATTTGTCAATCTTGCGCCTTCCTTTATGGTGTGCCATGTAGGATTTTTTTGTAGGGCTGTGCTTGGAGGTTTTGACAACATTTTCTCTATCTTTTTAGCCAAATCTTTAGCATAATATGCCCATAAAGATAGATTACCTTTCTTCTTGTCTTTTGGAGCAGCATGCAATCATTCTAATTAGACAGTCCCAACACATTTTTCAAAACACAAAGGTTAAAATGTGTCTCAGAACTGTAAGATAAGCACATTACTCAATGCAAAGCCTGGGTTCAAGAATATAGATAGGTAAGAATCAATGAGTACATTTTATGCACAACATAAATATATTTCTAGGAAAGCAGTTGGAAAGTGAGTTTAGTTGTACATTAGCAATCTTCAGTAGAAATTATTATGGACAAGTTTCATGATATCAAATTGAGATTGAGTAAACATATGGTAAAACCTTGAATCCTTCACTTTAGAATCATTCCATGTAAAATTAGTAAATATGTTTCTTCTCAGAATGTGATTCAATTGTAAGTCTTTGTTAATTCTCATAAAATGGCAGCTCCAGAACTGCAGTGGTTTCAGAGTTCTGGAACATTAACCCATCTTGTGCGAGTGCGGTTATGACTAATGGTAAAAGTAGGTGGTTTATATTTATACAACTCATGAATGGATTTAAGCAAGGGGACCATATTTGCGCTAATCAGTCATGATTAACAATTTCTTAAATGCAGGTGTTGCCCATCACCTATCATTCCCATGCTCTGATAAAAGAGGAAAAATAGATTATTTCTAGATTATAGTTTTCTAGTTTGTTCATGGTGAAACAGAAAATGGGGGGTGGGGTGGGGGGAATCCCAAATACTGTAAAAAAAAAAAAAAAAAAAAAAAGAATTACAGTTAAGCCTGACCTGACTCCCATTGAAGTCAATGACAAAATATATATTGATTTCAGTGGCAGCTGGATTAGGCCCCAAATCTAGAATAATAGATGACCAGTTCTACTTCTCTTTGCTAGCAGCTGCCTCCAAATTAAAATTTTACATGTTCTGGCTGTGTAGAGCAGAATATGGTATTTGATTTCTTATTCCTTCTAGAATGATTTAAGAGTAGTGGCATAAAAAAGAGAAGCACCAAGTTTCTCAATGTGGGGAGGAAAATAGTTAAAGGATCATCCTAACTTTTAGTTTAAGTTACAAACACACACATCTAGACTTATTTCTTTTAATGTACGAACTAGGGCTGTTGATTAATCGCAGTTAATTAATGTGATTAACTAAAAATATTAATTGCAATTAAAAAAATTAATCGTGATTAATCGCAGTTTTAATCGCACTGTTAAACAACAGAATACCAATTGACATTTATTAAATATTTTTGGATATTTTTCTACATTTTCAAATATATTGATTTCAATTAACACGGCATACAAAGTGTACACTGATCACTTTATATTATTTTTATTACAAATATTTGCACTGTAAAAATGATAAAAGAAAGTATTTTTCAGTTCACCTCATACAAGTACTGTAGTGCAATCTCTATCATGAAAATGCAACTTACAAACGTAGATTTTTTTTGTTACATAACTGCACTCAAAAACAAAACAATGCAAAACTTTAGAGCCTACAAGTCCACTCACTCCTACTTATCGTTCAGCCAATCGCTAAGACAAATAAGTTTGTTTACATTTATGGGAGCTAATGCTGCCTACTTCTTATTTACAATGTGACCAGAAAGTGAGAACAGGCATTCGCATTGGACTTTTGTGTCCGGCACGGCAAGGTATTTACATGCCAGAGATGCTAAACATTCGTATGCCCCTTCAGGTGTCAGCCCCCATTCCAGAGGACATGCTTCCATGCTGATGATGCTCATTAAAAATATAATGCGTTAATTAAATTTGTGATTGAACTCCTGGGGGGAGAATTGTATGTCCCCGGCTCTATTTTACCCGCATTCTGCCATATATTTCATGTTATAGAAGTCTCGGATGATGACTCAGCACATGTTCATTTTAAGAACACTTTCACTGCAGATTTGACAAATGCAAAGAAGGTACCAATGTGAGATTTCTAAAGATAGCTACAGCACTTGACCCAAGGTTTAAGAATCTGAAGTGCCATCCAAAATCTGAGAGGGATGAGGTGTGGAGCATGCCTTCAGAGGTCTTAAAAGAGCAACACTCCGATGCGGAAACTACAGAACTCGAACCACCAACAAAGAAAATCAACGTTCTGCTGGCGGCATTTGACTCAAATGATGAAAACGAACATGCGTCGGTCCACACTGCTTTGGATTGTTATTGAGCAGAACCCGTCATCAGCATGGACACATGTCCTCTGGAATGTTGGTTGAAGCATGAAGGGACATATGAATCTTTAGCGCATCTGGCATGTAAATATCTTACGATGCTGGCTACAACAATACCATGCAAACACCTGTTCTCACTTTCAGGTGACATTGTGAACAAGAAGCGGGCAGCATTATCTCCTGCAAATGTAAACAAACTTGTTTGTCTGAGCGATTGGCTGAACAAGAAATAGGACTGAGTGGACTTGTAGGCACTCAAGTTTTACATTGTTTTATTTTTGAATGCAGTTATTTTTTGTATATAAATTCTACATTTGTAAGTTCAACTTTCATGATAAAGAGATTGCACTACAGTACTTGTATTAGGTGAATTGAAAAAAAACTATTTCTTTTGTTTTTTACAGTACAAATATTTGTAATAAAAATAAATATAAAGTGAGCACTGTACACTTTGTATTCTGTGTTATAATTGAAATCAATATATTTGAAAATGTGGAAAACATCCACAAATATTTAAATAAATGGTATTCTATTATTGTTTAACAGTGTAATTAATCACGATTAATTTTTTTAATCGCTTGACAGTCCTAGTACAAACCATTTTAGGCTTCTTAAAATACCTTTTTTAAATTTTTCCCCTGGGGAGTCTCTGATATTGTTTTATTTTATTTAAATCTCACCTACATTCAGTCTCAGGTCCTTTGTGGTGAATATGCTATCTGGCCAAAGAACGCTGGAGGGAGCTCCCTTTAGGGCTCATCAGTGTTGTATCATGGCCCTCCCTCTGCCCCATGATATGAGTGCAGGGCCTTTCTTTTATTACTATTAATATTGTGGTAGCACCCAAAATATACTAGGTGCTGTGCAACCACTTATGACAATATGGTCCTTGCCCCAATTATCTTACAGTTCTAAAAACTAGTTTCAAATTTATATGCCCACGTTATAGAGACTTGTGGCACAATGCAACTGCCACTCCAGCCTTCATTACTTATGCTTAAATCTTCTGGTTGTTCACTAATAATATCTGACCTAAGAAAGCCTGGACCAATGTGGTTGTAAAAACTGCTAGTTAATTGGATGCTATGTGTATGTTTTCCACATGATGGTGCTGCAACTGTGTTTCATGGGTTTTTTGTTTTGTCTTGTCTTCCCTGGCCCATACTGCTAGTAGGATACTATATTTATGTCAGGCAGAATAGACCCTTATTGCAACCTGTGATCTCTGCTATTCTAATTGTTTTTTAATATTATAATAATTTTCATTATACATGTAAAAAGCTCTGTTGGACTATTTCAATGGAAAAGAAGGCAGAAGCAGAAAGCTGTTTTCTTGTGATTCTTGTATGTATTATGACTATGGTGACCACTCTGAAGCAGAAAAAAAGAGCCTCTATACTTCTTTCCTAAACCCTCTCCCCTCCTTTGTGAGGGAGAAGTGGGAGGGAAGAAGGAGAATGAAATAAGCCAGACGGCCACTGGTTGAGCCTCCAGATGTGTGTAGAGAATAATGAAGTCAAAGAAGAAATGTGTGTGACTGTCTGTTGTAACTAATTGTACAGTTGTTCAAGTTTGCCCTTAATGGAGTCAAACTAAAAAGTCAATTGAGACAAGGGGCCAGTTATTCTGGATTTACAGTGGTGGGAATGAGAACAGAATCTGGGCCTACAGCTTTTTCACACATTCAGCCTCATGTGTGATTTGTGGATATTTTAGGTTGAGGTCCCAGGCTAGGCTGAAGAAAAATAGTGCTGGCAATGTCCAGCAATTGAAATGCTATGGACTGTTAATTGACAATGAGGAAAAAAATGATGAACAGCAAAACCAGCATGGTTTGCTTGAGTCAGTGAGTCTTGACTGAACTATCTACAAATCCCTAATTTTCCCCTGTGATAAAGAAAACTGTGGTCAGAGAATGGCATGTCATTTAACTGGTCATTGTATCTTCTCTGATATTATCTTCACTGTACTGGAATTTGCTCCTGTGGAACTGGAATCCTCCAAAGATGGGAGTTACCTGTCTTCAAGAAGTTTAGGTGAGAGGAAGGAGTGAGACACTGAAAACTGTAGGTAGCACAGTTTTATTCATTTTGAGCTGTGTTGAGATAGTAGCACCAACAAATTCTAGTTAGAATAAAAATACAGATAAATATCTCTTTGGTAATACTCTGTACATTACTTCTGACAAATGCTCCTGCCTATGTTTAAAAACACTGGGACAAATAATTACATCTGTGGTACTCCACATGTTCCATGAAGACTGTAGCAATAGTACACAGCTTTGTTTGTGCGTGAAACCTACTCTCACTATGTTATTTACCTTTTTAATTATTCAGCCTGGGAACAATCAATATTATAACTAGTCTACGAAGGGCTTGTCTACAAGGCACAGCAGTGTGCGCGAGAGGATGTAATTTCTAAACTGTACTGCATTGCACGCCAACTAGCCCATATACACACTGCTGGCACACATTAAAAGTTCCCTAGTGACCACCCTACATTAACGCACTATGGAATTTTTACTGCCAGATAGTGCGCAGCATACTGGTGTGCTTTAAAAAGCACACACCTCTAGCGCACATTGCTGTGCTATGTAGACATGCCCTAAAACAGAAGCAACAGCATTTTCCAACTATAAGATGCATTGTCAAAAGTACAGTAAGTTTGGGGCATAAACGTTTAGACAGTTCCTTTAGACATGGATGAAAAATACTTTAGTGATAAGCTGTATAAATGTAAGCCTTGGCCAAACTTCTCATTTTGGCCAGTGGCAAACTTGACCCTTTGATTACAATATATTAATGCTATATATATCATCTTTCCAGACAGAAATCTGAAAAATGTTAGAAAGTCCAAAATCCAGCAAGACCTCTGCACTAAGTGCCAAAGGCTCAGTAAAGAAACTTAAAGGAGAAACCAAAGCTAAAGGATCAGCCAAAGGCAAGCGAAAACAGCTTGGTAGGTATGATACTACAGTGGTAAAGAAAGATGTTGCCTAGATTTACATGGCAGCTATTTACATTGCTTGGGCTAAAATGTTACAAATATACTAAGTACATTAAAACTCACTAATTTGCACCAATGATTGGGAGACTTGTTATGAATTATTACAACTTTGTGAATTAGCAAAACACATGCACCGTGGACATTACATCACACAATTGACTATATTCATTTAGAGAAACATAGTTTAGATGTACTATGTGGCCTAGTGGATAGAGCACTGGACTGGGACTTAGGAGACCTTTTTTCTATTCCCAGCTCTGCCACTGGGCTGATGGGTGACCTTGGGCATGTAACATTACTGTTCTGTGACTCCGTTTCCCCAACTATAATGTGGGGATAATGATGTTTATCTCCTTGTAATGCATTTTGAGATCAACCAATAAAAAGCTTATGAGAGCTAAGTATGATTGATTATTATTGCTTTACAATGAAGACAGAGGTTTAAGTACAGGAAAATACTGAGGTATCTCAGGTGCCACTGTGCAGAAAATGTTCAGTGTTTAATATTTAATAGTGAACACCATCAATGTACTATCATTTTTTAAAAATATTATGAAGTCTCACTGTAATAATATGTAACTTTACGGGAGTGCTCTGGTATTATATCTCAGCTGAGAAGTGGGGAGCGAGAGTTAGCAAAGTGCAGGTTAGTGAGGCTCTTCTGTATATTGTAAGGAAAGAGTTTCTTCAGTGGTCTAGGCACATTCACCCAAGAGGTCACAATGTGCTATCAAGATGAGTGTCAAAATTGGACTCTGTGTGCTGCTGCACTGCTCTAAGGGGAGCTGAGCTGGAGTCCCATCTGGAGAGGGCCAGCTGACTACAGCAGAAACCAGAAAGGAAACACACCTTAGTGAATGGTATCAATAAAAACCTCTTCAGTTAAAACATTATCAATACTATCAACAACAGGTCAGCACACCAGGCTAGGTGTGGACCAGGGTCAGTTCATGAGTGTAGACTGGAGGCCTCTGTCCCCAGCCCAGGAAGGACTGAAACCACAGTCAGAGTCTGGATCAGGGCCTTTTTCTCAGGGCTTCACTTGTTATTCAAACACAAAACTCACAAAGTAACACTAAACAAAGCTATTCCCCAGTCCTTCTTCTGGCCATCTGCCTGGGGCTATGTCTACACCTCAGAGCCTATCCCAGCACAGCTACATCAGCATATGCTGGCCTAGCCCCCAATGTAGACACAGCACACACCAACAGAAAGGGGTTTTCCAACTGGAGTAGGAACACCACTCCCCAAATGACATTAGCTATACCAGCAGAAGCACTATTCTGTCAACATAGCTGTGTCTACAGGTCTCTGGTCTGGTCCTTGGGATCTCTGGTTCCCGCAGTCAAGTGCTGAAGCGGCTCTTGCGCAGGAGCCTCCACCAAGTGTCCTCTCTCCTCGGCGGTCAGCCTAGAACGAGCTGGGCTGCTCCCTTTTATACTGAGGCAGCAGTTGGAGCATGCCCATCAAGGTCTGGGGGGCAGGACTTCGGCCGCCCATAATGTGGGGTTAACCCTTTCTTGCCTAGTGCGGGGTATGCACACCCTGTCACACCCTCCCAATCACTATGTCTAGTGAGTGCTACGCAGCAGAGCAGACTGAACAACAGACCATTAATCCCTTCCTGTCCTGACCCACTGTAGGGTTTATAACCATCACATAAGCTCAGGGATGGACAATGACTCCTGCAGCTCCGTACCCACTCCACCACTCTTTAGAAAGATGCAACCTCTGCTCCTCTGAATACCAGCCAGCTCTACTGATCAAAGTGTTTAGGGGGACCCGGCCATTTACCATCCCATTCAGTCATGACCATTTCTGGGTGGCAAGTTACCCAGGGGATGCTATCAGGTAGAGTGCTGTGACTGCATTTGTGCCACAAGGTGGGAGATTTCCTCTTTGGTGTCTTGAGCACCTGTTCACAATAAACATGAATTTTACATTTATCTCAAAATTCAAAGAAATACCAATGCCTCCTTAAAACATATTCAGACACTCATTCGAATAGGATTCGGTAGTTTCTTTCGTAAAATCTAAGTTGAATAGAAAGTGTATTGTGCTGCCTCTTCACAGGTTAGATTTTATACATTATAAAGAATGTGTTGCCACTTGTGTATGTTATCAAATTAAAGATTGTACAAGGATAACTAATGTATTAGAATTTTTTAAATGCCAACTTAACATCATGTTATTGTATTTCAGGTAAAAAAGATGAGGAAGAGGACATATCTATGGCTAGCATAGGTAAGTTCCATTATTGATCAGGATTTACAGTAACAATTTTAGAATATTTTACAGCACCCATAATCACTGAGGTTAATAATGTAGAAGAATAAGGAAAGATGAAGAAAAGTGGATGAGAAAGAATTAGAAACGATGAAAGAGTACATCTGCCTGAACAACTAGTAAAGTACAGCTGTCTGATCAGCAGGCAGCTTGGTGTGGAGTGTCGGATAGGAATAGCTTTCCCAACCTAGGAGCCTGTGTTATCAGGAGCTGAAAAGAGGAGACGACAGCTTGTGCTGAAGAGAGCAGTGGTTGTCAAGGGGAGGTGAAGTGTATTTACCAGATGATATTATTGTAAATTACCTGCAGTCAAAAGAAAAACTTTAATGTTTAAACAAAATATTTAGGTTGTTAAACCATTCTTAAATCTGACTGGAAACTGATTTACAGTCCATTTCACTGGGGTCTACCATTACCAGCACCACAAGTAGGAGCCTGTTTCAGCAAGGGGGTGGCTTGCAGAATTAGGTACAGAAATTCCAATTGCCATTTAAAAACTTCTAAAAGAATTCACGTCAACCACTTCTTCCTTAGTGGATATTTTTACCCTTGGATATTGAGTAAGATGAGTGCAATTTTTGTTTTTAATAAGTTAAGTCTAGATATATTCACGTCTTAAATATTGTAGGATTTTTCACGCTTTTCTAGAACCCTCTTGTTATGCATTCTTTTGGACAGATTTTGCAGTTTTTGACCTCAATTGAAAATTTGCCTGATAGAAGACTACCCGGTCAGGCTCAATAGGTTACATTCTCAGTTGGATGTATTGGCATTTACTGGTGCAGCTTTCATTGCTAAAAGCAGTTGCACACCTGAGACATCTTGTGGCAAATTAGAATATACTCCTCACCAGAGGATTTTATAAAAAAGGCATAAATCACTCCTTTCCCCCGAGTAGCATATTATTCAGTACTATGTGTTGATGGATGGGAGTAAAATTACGTGGTCTTAGAAGTTTCACCTAAGCTGGGGTAAGTTGTCTCTGCTTTTAATAAAGACAGAATATGTCTAGTCTTTCAGATGATATCAATGTTATGTTTATGATGTTCCTGGAAAGTCATCAAGAGAAACAAATAAGGATTGTAGCTCCGCCTAGTGGCGAACAATAGAAGAAAAAATTGATATCCGTGTGACTGTTAGTTTATATAGAATTATAGTATTTGGAAATGCAAAAGATCCTATTTGCTAAAGATACTATCTCTGCGGGAGTCTCATTCCTGGTTCTTAGCTCCTTAGTATAAAACTAGCAAAATTCCCTTTGCTCTTTAGGGATTTTTGGCCTCTGAGGATAGTGGTAGCAGGTTAAAGTGTGAACTGTGGGCACAGGGCACAAACATTATAATAGTATAATAAACAAACAGGAACCAATGTCCCCAAAACTAAGACTCTTCCAAAAGTCCACCACTACAAATACAAGGTGATTCCAAACAAATGGTACAACATTTGTGGTGTGTGGTAATAGAAGGGTTTCATTGGCACTCGCTGGGATTGACCTGCATAATTTATTTGTACCTTTACTACTCATGAGTAATATCACCATCCCAAAGTCATGCTGATAGTACCTGTTTACTGCCATGACCCATTTTATGTGTCTGTGATACATTATTTCATTTATTATTTATATTTCAGTATATAGGAAGTACATATTATATATAGTATATATTACAGCCATATAGGAAGACACTAGTCAGAAGAGCTTTTAATTGAAAAATGTTGACTTGATGCTAAAAATTTTTACTCAGAAAAGCATCATCTGGCAAAATTACTGATATGAGGAAGAATTTCAGGATCAGCTCTTAGTTTTGTATTATGATTTGTACTGGAATCCTTCAGGCAAATAGATGTTATGATATAACCTATTATTCTGGTTATTGCTTTTAATTTAGTCTCATAGAAATAAGTGGTCAAAAAGAGATTTTAGGCCATCTAGCCTGCTCTGCTGATGCAGGACAGTTGCCACAGTATATTCCCTAGTGTTCTGTCTAGAGTAGTTTTCATTAATTTTAAATGGACATTCATTATGTTCCATGTGACACTGAAACTGCATCAGGTTAAGAAAATATTTTTATGTTAACATTGAAGGAAAAGATACTATGCAGCTTGTTCAAGCATTTTTTTAAATCATCTGCTACCACTGGAGTGCAGTACAGCTGTTTTATTATATGAGCTATTTGAAAATCACCATTATTCTCGATTAGACCTTTTGATACAAAGAGAATTATATGACTAATTGCTTGGGTTTCCTTTTACTTTTCTGTCAGATGGGGGGAATCTTCTCCTCCTTTCTGATAATTTCACAATAAGGGGATTCCAAAAATATTATGGGTAGGGATAGGAAAGTTATATTGATTTTCCTCTGGGTACCAGTCCAGTTAGATGCACCCTGGGCATCAGTCCTGGACACCCCATGCAACAAATCTCGAGGACTGATACACATGCATGTTGTACTGTCCCTCTGCTCCCCCTGTCCATTCCATTCTCTTGAGCCAACTGGAGATTAAAATGAATGAAAATCCTCTTATCGGTGCACTACAGAGATCTGGAGTTTTCTCCTGTTGGCTCACAGGAACAGAGCTGGCAAGGGGACGGCAGGGAAGACATGACATGGACGTGCCTATCTATGATGTTGTTAGTTGGAAAGTTCCCCAGCAGAGCAACTGGGGAGTTTTTACTGTTGCAGTCCTCATGCTGAACGGGTGGTAATTTTCTTTCTCAGAGAGATGCTTTGCAAGAGGAAACGTAATTTCCTGGGCCTGTCAACCATGACATATTGAAATCTTGGCTGTATCTGTAGCATTGCAGCTGTGTACTAGGGTTCCAGGTCTGTGTCCTGACCACATCCTTCACTCCCTGGGGCAGCAGGGGCTGGGAGTGCTGCAGAACAACGTGCTCGATTCTTTAGAAGGAGTAAACGCCTCAAGTCGTTTCTTCGTAGTTGACTCCTATAGCCAAAATGCTAGGCCAAAGAAGGGTTCATGGCCTGGCCTCCTCATCCCAAAGGTGGGGAGCTGGGGTCATTGGAATAAGGTGCCTGACAGGGAGAACACAGAGACTCTTGGAAGCTCACACAAATATAAGTCCTTAAAATCTAAGCGATATAGAAAAGGAAAGCAGTGAAATGTTAATTAGCACTTGTGAAGCAAATAGACACAGGAATTGTGTGTGTCATGTGTGTGTATTGTATGCATACTGCACAATGTTGTGTAATAGCCAGGAAGTCCAGGTAGAACACATCTTTCATATTGCAGAGTATACTAGGAATGGCTTAGTATTCCATTGATTTCAGTGGATGACTGCAGCAGAGCAGATACAGTGGAGGACCTGCAGTGAAAGGGTTTAAAGGATAAATGTGGGATTTATCAAATATTACCTATTAAATGATAGGCCTATTGGGAAATTTAGCTTCCTGGATGATAGAGATTAAAAAGGATTTATTGTTTTGTCAATTCTAAAAGGATTAGGTTTGAACTGACTTCTCAAAGCATGTTTACCAAGCTGATCAATACTCCATTTTAGATTTATCTACTTCAGCTTAAAATAGACAAAAAGATGCCTGCTCCAGGCTCTAGATATCCTGACAAAATATACCTTATAACAACAGGAAATAGAAAAACTCTGAAACACCAGCAGATCTCACAAAAACCCCGCCCAACCGCTGAGAACATAACAAAACCCACCTGGCCCTTCAGGTCCCCAAAAACCTCCATTCTCTAAGCAGCCAGTTGAAAAGAAGCATTTTGCAGCTTGCCCTCAAGGTCAGCAGATGCGAACTATTTCAGATCAAAGCTTAGGGGTCCTCTACGAAGAATGTCCTCTCAACAGTCCCATTCTAATAAGCTAGGAAAGTTTCAGCTTGAATGCCTTTGTAGTCTGCAACTATGGCAGTATTGCAGGGGGAAAAAGTAAGTCTCTCAAATAGGCAAGGCTCAACCCAATTAGGCCTTTATAGGTTATAACCAACTATTTACATTCCATCCAAAGCCAACAAGCGGACAATGCAATTCAGGAAGCACCAGTGTCACACAACAGTGCCCTTGCATATCATTGGCAGCAGCAAGGAGTAGCAGATTTGGCCCCTCTGGCCCTCCCTCATGACATGTGGAGTGATGAGGCCAAAACCGAGTGATTGGCACACATGGTCAGGGGGCCAAATCAGAGTGAGCACACTGGGCAGTGGGCCGGCCAGTGCTGCTCCTTCTTGCTGCTTCCATGGGGCTGGCTCCTATACCAGAGCTCCCCCCAGGGGCCTGTCCAGCCTTGTCCCACTTCCAGAAGCCTGTGTCCCCTCCCTCTCAAGGATGGGGAATGACACTGCACCTGGTGGGCCGGGCTGGAAGGTGGGAGCTGAGCATGATGCAGACTTGGTGGGCTAGATGCTGGGGCCAGTGGCAGCAGTGCGGATGGCTCCACAGGGATTACTGGTGCATACCATGTCAATTTCTCGGGGCACCCCTGGTGTCACATACTCATGGTGAGCTACATCACTTAACAAGTGGATCCACCATATTCTATATTAGCTTCAGCTTTTGAATGGATGTAAGGTGTAGCCCCATCCCATATAGAACTTACTACAGTCATCCTATCTAGAAATGACAAAGGCATAGATTATAGTGCCAAGGCTGGCTTTGAAGACACAGTCAGAATTCTAGTCAATGTTCTTTGGAGCTAAAAGCAGATAGGAACCTGACAAGAGTCACACTTTAGTAACAAATGATGGATACATACTTTCAATCAGAGGGTCAGATATAATCTTTGTTATACGCTCTGGTTGTCTCCGTTGGCCAGCCATTGCCACCTCAGTTTTATCTGGTTTGAGTCTCAATCAGTTTGCTCTTATTCATGCTTCAATCTCACCCAGTAACTGAGAAATAGACTCAACTGCACCCTAGACAGGATGAAATGGAGATGAGGGTCCTGATTTAGAAAAGCATCCCTGTTCAGGACAGTACATAAACCTGTGCTTAAAGTTAAGCATGGGCTTAATTGCTGTCCTGAATAGGGATAGACTCGGACTTTCCTCAATCAGGTCCATAGAGCTGGAAATCATTAGTATATTGAAAGCATTTCAGTCCATGCCTCTTCACTAACCCTCCTAATGGCCTCATGCACATTGAACAAGATGTATGAGGTGACAGAGAGGAAGCCTGCGCCACCCCATGTGAGAGAACCCATGAGACAGAAGAGCAATTGCCTAACAGTGAGTGCACGAAGCTAGCACAGGGTAGCTCTGTCTAAACCCAGTTTGGTCTTCACGTGAGTTAACAAAACCTCATAATTAACTGTAGCAAAGACTGCTGGCAAATTTGACAATATCAATATGGACACCCTGTCCTTATCCACTGCCAGAAGGCCATTGACCAATGTAAATATAATAGTCAAAGCCCAGAATGACAAGGGTTTAGGAAGTCAGAGGCATCAAGATACTATGAGTTGTCTTGCTGCAACCTTTTCCATAATCTCGAACAAACATTAACAATTAGATACAGTTACTAATTACAGATTATCAGCATCTAGAGCTGGATTTTGATCAGAGGACATACACGTGCTTCCTTAAGAGCACTTGGTCCTCTGTTCTCTTCAAGATAGCATTGGCCATCTCCTCTAGCAAAGGACCAGTATTTCCCTACTGGCGGTCACTAGCTAGGAATAAGACCAAAGTGCAGGTTGTGGAATGCAGTTTCCCCAGCATATTACTGAGCAACACTGCACAAAACTCAAGCAGAAAACACTGAGCATTTGTCCCCTCCATATATTACTGTGGTTTTATAGATGCAGATGTTTTGGTCTGAATACTGTAAATTTTATCCACAGTGATGCAAGATTTCCACACTCCAGGAAGGATTCTCTTCAGCCAAAGAATAGACATAACTTAGATTTACCAGGCTATCCACCACCTTGAAGAAATCAGCTGATCGTTATTTTGTGAATGCTAGATTAGGAGCAAATAAATGTTTCTTTGCCAACCACACAGCCAACTCCTATCACAATATTTCTGCCTTAGCATAGGATGATTGTGAATTCATTCTTCTGTTTTCTTGAAAGATTTTATTTTAAATAACATATATTGATTATGCAAAATGTGTTAGGCGCTGACTTTTACAACATGAAGACAATGTTATCTTTCCATATTGAATTTACAATCTATGCCACCAAATGTACCAAAAACTATAAGTACAGCGGTTCAAAGGTGTCGTATTACTAGCAGTAAGAAAGATGTCATTAACAGTTCTAAATATCTCCTATACTGTCAACCTTTCAAGGAAAACACAATTTTTGTTCACCCTCCAACTTTGCCTTACCTTTTCTAGGCCACCCAGAGATCTTTCCATTAGTTTTCACTGAAAAGACACAGGAAATTTTAAATTGTCGAATTAATGAAGATATCACAGAAGAAAAACCTTACAAACTTCTGAAAAAAGAGGACATAATTCAGGATATGAAGACAAGAGCTGCAGTCTCCGATTTCCACCCAGTCAAAAAAATAGTCCTAGTACGTAACCCCTTTTTTTCTAACTTTAAAACTTAAAACCCTCATACCATGTACTTTCAGTGGTAAGGCCCATCCTCATCTGTGAATACTCTAGGAAAACGTATTTTCATTACAATTTTTCATATTCATATATAAGCCTTGAAAAGAAATGTAAAAGGGAATAAATAGTATAATACAAAATAGAAATAAGTCTAGTTATGCCTTTGGATATGTCCTTGCAATTTTCATTGAAGTCAATGAGAATTACACACACATGTGAGGGCAAAACAGCCCTCTGTACTTGTAAATTTTTACAAATTCTGACCCTGATCATCCACCACTAAAGTTAATGATAACTTTGCCATTGACTTAAATGAGCATAGGATCAAGCTTTATTTGTACATTACTTGCTTTCTACTTTCCACTAAATAGCTACAGTTCTTTGAATTTAAGAATGATTTTTTCTTCAGGATTGTGTTTTCTGGTATTGATTACTTAAATATCTAATTCACAATTTTACAGATCTTAGATTAATATATCAGTTGTAATTGGAAGTTGAATGCATGAAACCTTTCTGTTCTTATTCATGCAGGAATATCCAGGGGAAGAACTTCTGATAGTTTTAGATACAGAGTTCAAATATGGACAGAACTTTTATCTTGTTGCAACCGAAGAGGCCAAGGAAAGCTTTTTAAATGTAAGAAAATCCAAACACACCTTCACATTATTCCACATACTTAAAATAACTCACAGTGCTACAGTCACACACACACACTTTGAGATCTGTATTTAGGGTGACCAGACAGCAAGTGTGAAAAACTGGGACAGAGGGTGGGTGGTAATATGAGCCTATATAAGAAAAAGCCCCAAATATCAGGCCTGTCCCTATAAAATCGGGACATCTGGTCACCCTATCTGTATTGTCTCTTCTTCTCTTTGGCCTGGTCCACACTACCCCCCCACTTCGGACTCAGGTACGCAAATTCAGCTACGTTAATAACGTAGCTGAATTCGAAGTACCTTAGTCCGAACTTACCGCGGGTTCAGACGCTGCAGGCAGGCTCCCCCGTCGATGCCGCGTACTCCTCTCACTGAGCTGGAGTACCGGCATCGACGGCGAGCACTTCCGGGATCGATCCCAGAACACCGATTGCCTGCCGTCGGACCCGGAGGTAAGTGTAGACGTACCCTTTGATTCCCATCCATCAGCTCACCAGCAACAATGGGGCTGAAGGAAGTTTTTCCATCACTTTGTATCAGCTTCACAGCCTCATTCATCACTGTGTTTATCCAATACATCCTCAGTTTTCCTCTCTTGCTAGTTGCTTGCACTCTGGTACATATCACCTCATTTGGTATCCTTTCTGGGTCCATTCTTGACCCATGTTCAAACCATTATAGTTGTCTTTCTTGGCTCTTCTGTAACAGCATTATTTCTTGCCCTAGCCATGTTCTTAGCATGTAATTTTTTATTTTCTGCAGTCTTGAATCTCTCAATATTCCCCTCTGCTAGTTCATTTCTACAGTCAATCTCTTATGTTCATCAGCTTTCCTCATACATCAACATTCTGATCCATACTGCAATATCAGCACAATTGTCTCATATACACTGCTTTTAATTTTTATTGAAATGTCTTAGCCTTCCAGATCTTACAGAGTTTTAGGAATGCAATAGTGACTAGTCTGATTCTTCTTTTTATGTCATCGATACAGATCTTCTTCAATGACATGAAAAGAAGATCTGTATTGAACACACTTATAAATAAAGCACTCTAATTGCAAGAATTTTACACTTTAAGTTAGTCTTAACATGCAAAATATACCTACAATTTATACTGAAAAAGAGTTTGGGTGAAATCCCAACTCCACTGTCAATGGGATTTTTGGCATTGACTTGATTGGTGTCAAGATTACCATTTCTCATAAAACTGGTAATCACACGTGCAAAATCTCTAGTTTTCCAGATTAGACACATTTCAGTAAGAGATTATAATTAGTGAGCTAAGGACTCTTCAAAGGAAGAATATCTATTCAACAAATTGTACTTAGAAAATATATTTTTGAATGCAAAACATTAAAGGAAAACATTAACCTTGTAATTGAAAGTCACATTTGGTTTTGATTTTTTTCCCTACTGTTATTACAAGGAGCACATAAAATTATTATAACTGAAAGATTAGAGAAAACTGTGCTTATTTTCATTGCAAACATTTTTATATAGTCATTTAGACTCTGCTTTTGCAAATTTTTGTACACGTGATTTCAGTAGGCCTATTTATTTGCTTGAGGTTATTAACATGCTTAAGTGTTTGCAGGACTGGAACCTTAATTAGTTAGGTCTCAATTCTGCAATGCACTGGAGCACCACTGTATGGACCCCTGTGACCTTCCAAGTGCAGTACACTGCAGGATGAGGGCCTTAGTCATTTTCTCCTTTTGTTCCTGTGCGTCTGTCACACAGCAGCAGGGGAGGGGAAAAAAGCATTTTAATAGAAAATAAAATAGTGATTGTACATAAGAACAGCCATACTGTGTCAGACCAAAGGTCCATCTACCCCAGTATCCTGTCTTCCAACAGTGGCCAGGTGCTTTAGAGGGAATTAACAGAACAGGTATCAGAACAGGGAGCGGATGGGTCTTTACACAAAGTAAAACCTATTTCCCCATGCTAATTTTTCCCCCTACTGTTACTCACACCTTCTTGTCAACTGTTGGAAATGGGCCATCCTGATTATCACTACAAAGGTTTGTTTTTCTCCTGCTGATAATAGCCCACCTTAACTAATTACCCTCGTTATAGTCAGTATGGCAACACCCATTTTTTCATGTCCTCTGTGTATATATATGTTCCTACTGTATTTTCCACTGCATTCATCTGATGAAGTGAGTTTTAGCCCATGAAACCTTATGCTCAAATAAATTTGTTAGTCTCTAAGGTACCACAAGTACTCCTCGTTCTTCTTGCTGATGCAGACTAACACGACTACCACTCTGAAAGGTATCATCAAGTGATTCATCCCCTGTTGCCCATTACCAGCTTCAGGCAAACAGAGGCTAGAGACACCATTCCTGCCCATCCTGGCTAATAGCCATTGATGGACCTATCCTCCAGGAATTTATCTAGTTATTTTTTGAACCCTGTTATTGTCTTGGCCTTCACAACATCCTCTGGGTAAGAGTTCCACATGTTGACTGTGCGTTGTGTGAAGAAATACTTCCTTTTGTTTGTTTTAAACCTGCTGCCTGTTAATTTCATTTGGTGGACCCCTAGTTCTTGTATTATGAAAAGGAGTAAATGACACTTGCTTATTTACTTTCTCCACACCAGTCATGATTTAATAGATCTCTATCATATTGCCCCTTAGTTGTCTCTTTTCCAAGATGAAAAGTTCCAGTCTTATTAATCTCTCCTCATATGGAATCTGTTCCATCCCCCTAATCATTTTTGTTGCCTTTTTCTGTACCTTTTCCAATTCCAGTACATCTTTTTTGAGAAGGGCAACCACATCTGCACACAGTATTCAAGATGTGGGCATACCATGGATTTATATAGAGGCAATATGATATTTTCTGTCTTATCTATCCCTTTCCTAATGATTCCCAACATTCTGTTAGCTAGTTACAAGGGACTCAGGAGCAGGTGAAGTACATGAAACTACTTTAAACTCCTTTTTAAAAACTGACTTCCTTTCAAATTGACAGTGTCCCTTTAGTATTTATTGGAAAATTCATTGCTAAAAGGACAGGGCCTAATCCTCCAAATCCTTACTCCTGTGAGTAGCCGGATTGACTACATTGAGACTATTTGTGTGAATAAGAATCGGCAACACTGAATTTTTTTTCTACATTTAAATAATATATTTATGTTTATATATGAAAAACTATAAATAAATTCTTTGCAATTACTTTGTCTTATAGCCTCCAGAGGCAGTGGAAGAAGAAGGAGAGACTAAAGAAGGAACGACAGAGGAATACGTTTATAAGCCTCCTGTCCGCAAACCTTGGGTCTCCCTTGGCAGTGAAAAGGAAATTGAAGAAGAATCAGTTAATGAATCTCTTAGAAAGGTCAGAAATTATAAATGTCATTCAATCAAAGTCATATTCTCACACAAATTCTCTGTTAAAATAAAATTAAAGAAGTTCTTTAAATGAACAGAAGGCAGAAAATTTAGAGTTATGCCTGAAATTCTTGTGGCCATCCCAGTTTTGACTGTGATCTTGTCAGATACCACAGCAAAGGAGAGTTGGAACTAGCTAGAAAAACTGAAAGTGCTGTAGGAAGAGATTCTGATGTTTTCCTTTTCCATTTAAGTCCATACGTGATCCAATGCCCTGACTGTAATGAAGGCACTCTGCTGCTGGAGATATAAAACAGAAGTCATGGCCACTTGTGGACATTAAGCATCCCCATCACCATTTGTACGGTTTGAGGTGGTAGTTTTGATAGCTTTGCCAAATAATTACAATTTAGATAATTGTAATTATTTTTTACTTACTTAAGATCCCAATCCTGCTCCAAACAAGTCAATGGAAAAATTCCCATTAATCTCTGGGAAGTCCAAATTCTCCATGTAGTTTAAATGGGATGCAGTATTCTCCTCCATTTGTTCTGGAATCTGCTGTCTGATATAGCATTGGGCTTAAGTTGCATATAGGCTTTGTGGTGGCTCTCAGAGCGGGGTAAATTTCATCCAGAGAGAAGTGAATGAGTTACTTGGGCAAAGGGACAATTTTGATATCTCAGAGTAACAGGATTAGCCCTTTCAGTGCTAGGAGTAATTTAAAAAATATTCAGAAGTCCTGTACCGTTTGGAAAGATAAAAATATATGATGACATACACTTATTGGTGATTTGGGCTCATGAGAGGGGTACAGAATTTCAAAATCTATAAATGTTTGTGAACAAGTGACCACCAGAAGTGACCTTGCAGATCTCTGAATCTCACTGTTTCAAAGGACTTGACTTTCAAGAATAATTTTCCTGTGGTTATTTCAGAAAATCTCTTATTTTGGGTATATTGCAGATTAAATATATGATTTCTCGAGTGCGCAGAGAGTTTGGTTCAAAGGTCAAATTTACTGATAGAAATGCTTCAAGTGTGAAAGATGGCTACATTGAATGTACATCCTATCAGGATAAAAATTTCAGCATTATGAAACTTGAAAAAGATGTTGGTGCACAAGTCGTTCCAAAAGTAAGGGAAATGAGTACTCAAACAAAGTGGTAAGTGTGAAATGGATTTACCAGTTTTTAGTAATTATAAAGGGAAACAATCCCTTCATTATTATTTGTTAATTTATGTCCTGATTCTGAGCTCACTAACAGTAATGTAAACCAGGAATAACTCATTGGAATCAATGGGGTTACACAGTTGTAAATCTAGTGTGAGAGCAGAATCAGGTCCTCTGAGAGCACCTTTTCAAATACTGTGCAGCTAAGTTCTCCCTCACTTCCGAAGTTGGATCAACCCAAATCATCTTACCAACATTAGCAAAAATTAACATACACCTCTACCTCGATATAACACTGTCCTCGGGAACCAAAAAATCTTACCGCGTTATAGGTGAAACCGCGTTATATCGAACTTGCTTTGATCCGCCGGAATGTGCAGCCCCGCCCCCCAGAGCACTGCTTTACCACGTTATATCCAAATTCATGTTATATCAGGTCGCGTTATATTGGGGTAAAGGTGTAGTTAGCTTTCCATTTTTTGTACTTCATAAGGCTTCTTTAAAAAAAAAAAACTTTCAAATTTACCTGTGTTAAAATTTGTTCCAACTTGCTTAGGACCTATCCAAGAAATGCAGCCACACAGTACTTTCCTAGAGAGTTCTCAGGTGAAGAAAAAGAGCTGTGTTTGTCATCTGAGGATCTGAAAGAATTTATTATCTCAGTGTTTTTAAGGTAAAAATGTTGCAATAATATGCATTAAAGTTTACCTTCAGTAAAATGGTACACAGAACTATACAACAGGTGTCACGATATACTTAGGTTTATAACTGTTAGTTTTAAAATCAAGACAAAAAACGGAATTCTCTGATGCATGCATTCCCAATCCATGCTCTTCTGATGTGCTTTGTGGAAGGTGGTTTCAAATTTCTAAAAGAAGTTAGTCAGCTGTTAAGCCACAATTAAATTTCAGATGGTTCAAAGTGTCTGTCAGTAGGAAAGTTTTTAAAGTATATGTCTCACTCATTTCATGTGTTTTTCCATACTCTACGCCAGTGGTGGGCAACCTGTGGCCACAGGTTGCCCACCACTGCTCTACACTGTCACTTTTGGTAATTATTGAAGTACTTCCATCATAGTAATGCTATTGCATACCCGTCCAGTAACGTGACTAACACCTTCCTCTGAAGCATCAGACATTGGCTACTGTCAGAGACAGAATACTGCTCTAGATGGACCAGTGGTCTGGTCCAAGTAGTGCAGTCCCTATGTTTCTATATTCTGCATCTTCCTAGCATATTTTTCTTCTTACTTGATACTGTAATAGGTTTGTGACATCACATTCATTTACATGGGAACAAGTAATACAGTTCATGACAAATTCATTTTCATGGGTAAACAAAAAATTGTGGGCCAGATCCTCAGCTGGTGTAAATGGACATAGCTCTATTAAAGTCAGGGAGCTACATCTATTTATACCACCCGAGGATGTGGCCCTGACTCCTCTGCTGGAGTAAGTAGAAGGAGGAACTGTAAACCGTGAGGGCCCAGTCCTACAGCTCTTACTCACTTGAGGAGTCCACTGAAATCATTGGGGCTCCAGGGTTGGGTAGTAAACTTCAAGAGCCTAATCTAAGCCCACTGAAATCAAATCTATCTGAGCACACACAAGTGAAGTGATAGCACAGTATGTCTATTTTTTATTAAGTGTATTTGAATGTGAAGGGCTCTCTTGAGAGTAGTGACCAGCACTGGGTAACCATTGTGCATACCACTTTGGGAGATGTGATCATAATTTTTAAATGAAAGATGTCTCTTTATTGAATTAATGGGTAATTATCCCATTGAATAATCACATCTAACATTTTTGAAAATGTTAACTATTATTTTCATAACACAGAGTGGAAATAGCATTGCAGCAAAATGAAATTATGAATGCCTTTTTTGATGACTGGAAAGCATTAGCAGAAGATGAAAGTGCCTTTGGTGGCAAGTCAGATGCTTACCTTAAGGAATACCAATCGTTTACAGACCTGCACTATCTGAAGCATAGAACAGTTAGCTGTGTTTGCTGGCATCCAACCATTTATGGTAATGCTTATAAAATATATAGTTCATGCCTGAAATAGTTTGAGAGCTTTAAAGTTTAAATTGATAAAGGTTTTATTGGCTTTTAAATGTGGAAACCACTGATTTGAGATAAAGTGGGATATGGACAGATATTGTGTAGAATTCAAAGAGGTAATGTTGTAGGCCAGATGATTTCTTGTGCAAGTGTATAGTAGAGAATACATAGGAAGGAAATTTTCCCCTTGTGAGATCCATTTAAAGGGACTCTAATTGTGCTGGACCTAATTTCTTTCTCATACTCTCCCAGAAGCACACACTGCTCCATGGAGCCCTGCTTCTCTTTCAACTTCTCCTCACCACTTGCCTATGTGGCTCCACCTGAGTGCAGGGAGCACCAGTAGTCATTCTGAATGCTTCCCAATATTTCCTTTGGGGTATTGCAGCTCCACACATTCCATTGAACAGCCAACACTGCAGGATGCAAAGGAAATCTGCCTTCTTTTTAAGTATAACGACAAAGGAATTGGTTTCTTAATGGGTGCCCAAGAGCATAACCATGTCTGTCACGTTATTCCAGTTTTGAGATTAGAATTTAACGACTCTTAGCAAAAATATTGAGTTATATTCTGGTCTTGGGCTTCCATCACTCATTTTTAAGGTGCCTAATCATTCATTAACTAAAATTATTGCTTTAAAGGTGACCTACAGTGGGGGGAAAAATTGGCTATGTATATAAAAAGGAGACATAGCCAATTTTTTCTCTTTACAGGTCACCTATAAAGCAATAATTAACAGAGCCATTAACACTTGAAGTGGGCATGGCATTGTTTTTTTTGTAGAAGTGCTAAAATTTTCCCTTTATCGACGATGAAGTTGTTTGTTTTCCCCTCGATCAGGGATTATAGCAGTGTCAGTAACAGAGCGGCTTTCTTATGAAGAACGCATTACCCAATCTGGTAAACTGTTGTTGCAGAAGTCACCAATTCTTTTTTGGAGTTTCTCTGACCCTATTCACCCTCAGGTATTTAAACAGGATTTTAAAATATTCAAATTATTCAGACAACAAAGGAACAATCTTTCCAACATGGCTGTATTTCTCAATTGATTATTATTTTTTCTAGTTAATGCTGGAGTGCCCTGAAGACGTCTACTGCTTTGAATTCTGTCCATCTGATCCCAATATCATTGCTGGAGGCTGCATGAATGGACAGGTGTTGGCTCCTTTCTTCTTAGTTCTATTATTTTCTATATTGATTGTTCTAGTCAATCTTCATTTTTGAATTTTAATTTATTACATTAGTGTATCTGCACTAAATAGTGAATATTCAGTGTTCTTGAACAAATGGAAAATGCAGTATGGCAGCAAACTTGGTAGTTTGTATAAACTAGTGAAGCACAGTCAAAATACACATGGCCAAATCATACCACTTGTGGGATAAGTTCCCAGGTTACAGCTCCCATTGTGGTAGTGAAACAGGGTTTGTACCTTTATTGTGCAGGTATGGGCAATGAAGTCTCTTAACCCATGGATAATGAAGTATATGCAAGGAAATCCCATTGCCTGCACTTTACTTCCTACTCCCCTGTTCCTTTTCAGTTTCCTAAGGAACCACATTCCTAGTGGCTCCCTACCTATGTCTGGATCTAAATCCCCCTTGTGAGAGAGGTCTGACAGCACAAGAGAGTATTCCACACCGAATAATGCTGTGGACAACTGTTTAGACAGTGATCCTCATTGACTCATTTTTTTTCTTTAATACATTTTGCTGTTTTGTTAAGTAATTTATCAGAATGAGTATCTTAGGTTTTTCCTCCACAGAATTGCCTCGGCACATTGCCACTCTTAGGAGTATTGCATACTATTCTTCATGTCCCAGAACCACTAAAGGGACTGGGTTGACTAAAAATGTCCACTTCTAGTATCTAAGTGGCTAAGCTAACTGAAAGCTGTAGACCCATCCAGGCCTCTTGGTTCCAGAAACTGAGCATTTTCATCCATTGATAGCAGTTCATAGAAAAAAACATAGAAATTACCATGCTTGATCAGATGTCTGTCTAGTGCAGTATCCTGTCTGTCAGGGGACAGCACCAGATACATCAAAGGAAGGGAGAATATGTAAAGAAGTTTTGGTCTTGTGAGAGTCTGTGATCATAACTGCTTCATGGTTTCAGTAGATGCTTGTCTTTAGGTGGGCTATGCTGCCTTTATCCTTCATCTCCAATATGGCAGAACGGTAGGCCTTTCCTTGGACCAAGAGTACCTGAATGCCTGTTACCAGTTGCACCAGGCCATGTCCAGATCCACGTCCCTGCTTGTACTTCATTGTGGCTTTAGAATACGAATGCTTCCCATCTTTAGAGTTCTCCTCCTTTTTTGGTTCTAGAGGGGAATCAATAAAATATGAACATGATAGAGGATATATAAAATGGTAAATGGTACAAAAGATACAGTTGGGCACCCCATTTATCCTCTCCCATAATACAAAAACAAAGAGACGGAGAATCATAGAAGATTAGGGTTGGAAGAGACCTCAGGAGGTCATTTAGTCCAACCCCCAGCTCAAATCAGGACCAATCCCAACTAAATCATCCCAGCCAGGGCTTTGTCAAGCTGGGCCTTAAAAACCTCTAAGGATGGAGATTTCATCACCTCCCTAGGTAACCCATTCCAATGCTTCATCACCCATCTAGTGAAATAGTTTTTCCTAATATCCAATCTAGACCTCCCCCACTGCAACTTGAGACTATTGCTTCTTGTTCTGTCATCTGCCACCATTGAGAACAGCCGAGCTCCATCCTCTTTGGAATCCCCCTTCAGGTAGTTGAAGGCTGCTATCAAATCCCCCCTCAGTCTTCTTTTCTGCAGACTAAATGAGCCCAGTTCCCTCAGCCTTTTCTCGTAAGTCATGTGCCCCATCCCCCTAATCATTTTTGTTGCCCTCCGCTGGACTCTCCAACTGGTCCACATCCTTTCTGTAGTGGGGGGCCCAAAACTGGACACAACACTCCAGATGTGGCCTCACCAGTGCCGAATAGAGGTGAATAATCACTTCCCTCGATCTGCTGGCAGTGCTCCTACTAATGCAGCCCAATATGCCGTTAGCCTTCTTGGCAACAAGGACACACTGTTGACTCATATCCAGCTTCTCGTCCACTGTAATCCCCAGGTCCTTTTCTGCTGAAATGCTGCTTAGCCAGTCGGTCCCCAGCCTGTAGCAGTGCATGGGATTCTTCCGTCCTAAGTGCAGGATGATGAAATTGAGAGGAAATGCATTTAAACTGTTATAAAAGAAATACCTTCTTTACACAACACATACTTAATTTGTGGAGCCACAAGATATTACTGACCCCAGGAAATTAAAACAATTCAGAAGAGGATTAGACATTTTTATGGACTGGGGAAGTTTTATTCCCAACTTTCATTAGTTAATGTTGGTTTATGAAACATTAACGTTTATATCCCATATAAATGTTTTATCCTGTCTGTAAACATTCTCATCATCCATAGAAATGTCTAATCCTTTATTGAGTCCTGAGGATGTGATGGCATAGAAGCAGTTTTTCAGTCCACAGCCTCAGCAATCACTTTAAAGGTGACACTTAGAAATGCTTGATCAGTGTGACAGGCTGCACAGACCAGCAAATTGTTAACGGACTCAGATGGTTCTAGGATTTGCAGTCTGTTGCACCAGACTGCTACAGTGAGGGTCTGCAGAGGCAATATCTTAAAAAAACCCACCACCCTCCAGTTCTGGCATCGTAAGTAGACTTCCTCCTTCTACTTTCAAACAGTGCTCGTATTACAGTTCAGAAATCTGTTTTAATCTATCGTTTAAACAGAAAAAATACTTTGTAAAGACGTTCATTTCTCCTCATAGGTTGTACTGTGGGACATTTCTGAGTATGAAGAAAAGCTGCAGAATGCTAAAACTGGTGCTGGTGGAAGCAAGAACACTGCTGTTAATATGGTTAGTACTTGAGTTCTGTATTTAGTGCTGGAGTATGCCCTGCTGTGAATAAAAAAAGGGAAAATGAGAGGAAGTTAGGAAATAAATATGGGAAAGGGAATGCAGGCTTAAAATGAAGGAAATATCAGCCTGGCAATGAAGTACTAACTAGACTGTTTGTATTCCGATACACGAGGCAACAAAATAAATCTTTATCAAAATCTCATATCTACATCACCAACCCAGATAAATAATATTACTGTAATTGACACAGACCAGAGATACAATCGGGCATTGTTATTTATTGAGCACCAACAGTGTATTCAGCCCTACCCCCAGGAAGCTACCTGTCACAGGGTGGGACTCACCGGTGCAGCGCCTCCTGCTGGTCGTCCAGGGAATTAGCATTTCCAGCCTCCAGAGCACCCTCTGCAGGCTGGTGTCCCGTTTGCCGCTGGGCCCAAGTCCCTCCTGGATCCCGGTGCCCCTTTCAGGCCGGGGTGCTGCCTCCTGGCAGTACCCCCACAAATCTGGGTCTCCCCTCCCCGGGGAACCCCCACCCTCTATCCCCACCTCGCCTCAGTCTTGGGCTACTGCCAGTCACCATCTAGCCCCCGCTCACTGGGGCGGACTGCAGTGTAAAAGCCACTTATCATAGGCAAGGGGCATTTTGGACCTGCTGCCTCTGCCTGCCCTTGGGCTGCCCTCTGCAACCCCAGTACCTTCTTTGGCCTTTAACAAGGCCTGCAGCCTGGGGGGGTTTCTAGGCCGGAGCTCCCCAGCTCCTCTGGCCTTCCCCCAGCCCTGCTGCTCCAGTCTTGGTACCCTCTCAGCTTCCAGGCAACCAGGCCCTTCCCTCTCTAGCGCATGAGAGAGACTCTCTGTGCTCCTGGCCCATTGCCCTCTTATAAGGGCTAGCTGGGCCCTGATTAAGCCAGCCTCAGCCTGATTGGGGCGTGGCCCCCCCAGCTAAGGCTGCTTTCCCCATTCAGCCCCGCTTTTCCTTCCCTGCCACAGCCCTCTCCCCGGGTTGTTTTAAGCCTTTTCAGGCAGGAGCAGATGACCACCCTGCTACACAACCGCATAGATCAAATCAATATAATATATTAGATGATGGTATAAACTGAAAGCAGAACAGAAATTTTCCCCAGTGCTAAACGTGTATATGGAAGTGTGTTTTAAAGGACAGATTTAAAGGATGGAGGGAAGGTGGTTTGGCTCACGGAATAAGGGAGATAATTCCAGGCAGAGTGTGTGGTATGGAAGAAGGCATGAAGATGAGAATGGAAAGAGGATACAAAGTAGGTAATTAGAAGGAAGGCTTGAGAGCACAGTGGAAGAAATAATGCTCTATTGGAGGTGGCTGGAGCAATTGTGGACATAATTTTTACAGTATGGTATGCCAGGATCTGATTCAAAGCTGACTGAGACTTTCCATTGGCTTTGATGGGCTTTAGATCAGACCCCTAGAAACGTTTCTAGATTGAACTAAAATACTGTAAAGGGACATTAACAATATGTGCAGTTTCCTTTTTTTTTTCTTGATAACTAATGTTGTATTTTGCAAAACATACCTTTTAAAATGTATCTTTTAAAAACTTCTCTAGCCAACGTTTATACAAGCACAACAAAGTGGTAAGGAACCACATTTTGTGAGATATTGTGCAGTCTCTTCTATAGAATATGGCCATAAAACAGTAATAACAGATATACACTGGCTGCCAGACTATTTTGAGGTGAGTTTCAATTGATATTTTATTACTTTTTCTTTATATTTTTAACAAACCACTAATAAAATCAGTGTGTGAACTGCAGATCAGGTGTTACAAGATGAAATTATTTATAATAATCTCAGTAGTACTTGGACTCAGTATTTCTGACTGCATCCCAGAATGCCAAACAATGTCAATCCGGTCCCTCTCATGCTCTCTGTACTTTAGGATGGTACTCCACTTTCACCTTTTATTACAGCTGACTCAGATATGTAGCTGACCTTATTATAAGATTTCTATAGCTTTACTCAGAATTACATTGAAGATGTTTTGATAACTACAGATGGGATTTCAAAATATATTAATTCTACTATGGGAATTCCTAGCCTGACACCGAGAAGTTAAAGCAATAACTTCTTAGGTCACCTAAACAACTTAGTTGCCAGAAATGACTTCACTAACAGATCTCCTTTTTCTAGATAGAAGTTGCACCCACAAAAATTACACCTACATTTTCTTTCTATCCTATTCATAGTGCTCCAGCCATAGTATCTTAAGGGCCCATTCAGCTCCCTTTCAAGTTAGTGTGGGAGGGAAAGAGGGCTCCCAGGAGTCAGCCCTACGTGATAATTTGCTGTCTAAGTGGTAGGATTAGTGAGGTGTGCAAAAAAGAGGCCAGGCTGAAAAATCAGACCCACAACCCAAAGTGGATGTTATCTTGAGAATTTCTTGTAACTAAGTTTTTAAGACTCAGTTGCTACTGCATTAACAGTCGAGTGAAGACCGTGGAGAAGGCAATGCACAGACATCATTGGAAGGAAGATTGATACATTTGCACATTAATAATTATATTGCGATAGTACCCACAACCCCCTCTTGGTACTGTACATACATGTATAAAGACAAGGCCTCCCCAGAAGAGTACATACAAATTTGCCAGTGGTTCAACTCAGGGTATGTCTACAGCAGGGGTGGCCAACCTTTGGCTCCGGAGCCACATGCGGCTCTTCAGAGGTTAATATGCAGCTCCTTGCGTAGGCGCCAACTCCGGGGCTGGAGCTACAGGCGCCAACTTTCTAATGTGCTACAGGGTGCTCGCTGCTCAACCTCTGGCTCTGCCCCAGGCCCCGGCCCCACTCCACCCCTTCCCCCAAGGACCCTGCCCCTTCCCCTCAGTCTGCCATGCCCTTGCTCCTCCTCCTGCCCCCCAACCTCTGAGCCTCCTGCACACCACAAAACAGCTGATCGCAGCGGGCGGGAGGC